AGGGGGTCAACATTTTGCAACAGGCACTTCTTTAAATGTCATTGTCGATTTTTTGTTGTTTTTGAAGCTTATACTATTATTTAGCAGCGAAATTTTCTGCTGCACAATAATATTTGAATGCGTATTAAACTATTATGCTCCAAAACAACGGATAATTAACATTCCAATTTTAATTATGTTAAAAAAAACAAAAGCGTGCGCAGCGAATAAATTTCTCTCACTTAGCAAACAAATTTTTACATTGTCATTGGCATGTTATTAATTAAATTAAAACCACCTTGCAATTCCATTCAGAAATATTAATAATCATGTAAATATTTTCTCTAAAATGTTGTTTTTCTATGCTTAGCATGCGATTTATAACTAAATGCACCATTAAAACAGTGTTTTGAAAACCTAGTTTTTTACAAAATGTGTTCTCAGAATGCTGCAAATGCCATTTCCGGGATACAAATTTTAAAATTTTACCATGCCTTTGGCACGAGCCCCCCAATATTTCGTAAAGTGTCTGCCACTGCTTTTCAACAAGCTTTAATTTCATTGAAGTACTGTACTGGCGAAATTGTTTCGTTTTTATACTACTGGTCTTTTGAACTGTGATCCTCTCGTATTCAAGAGCCTGCGATTATTGTGCCCGCTTCTGTTCCACTGCTTTACTTCATGTAACCCTGGTAAAATGAATAAGAATTGAAAGCGAACGCTAAATAGTGAAAACAACGTATATGTCACGAGAATTCAGAATTACAACAATTGTCGACAAACTCAGCAATTGTTCGGGGCAACTAGAAGCTCCCATTTCATTAATATGTATTGACCCAGACAAATTTCATTAATATTTGTCACATGAGCCTTATTTGAAGAATACAACTATTAAAATAGTACAGAAACCGGGACAATAATAAGAAAACTGGGACACCGGAACAACATAGTCCAAACCGGGACAGTCCCTGGTAAACCGGGACAGTTGGAATGTTTGAAATAGATACAAATATGTGAAAAGTGCGTAGCCAATCATTGATTTTTTTTTTATTTGTTTGCCAGACTTTGCAGTCTGTTCTAGAACAAGAGAGGCAGGCCGGCCAGAATCCGAAGGCCGCACATGTTGATCTCATAACGTGTGGTTGGGTCTGGATTGCTCAGCAAAGCACTAGAATCAACAAACTCTTCCCTCCAGATTTTTTCTTTGATTTTGTCTGGAACTTGTGCATCGCGAGACAAGTAGGCAGAATGAAAAGGCTGATTGGGGAGCAATTGTTCCGGTATAGTGAAAGGACGTGGCTGACCTGATATATTGGAGTGGGCTTCGCCAAGCACGTTCTGGACCAAAGCTGTTGTGTGTGCAGAAGATGAGAACTCTGCTGTTGTGTGACTGCGGCTATTACCGATGAAACCAGTGTTATTGCCAGATCATCCAGCAGTGACGATGGGCCTGCTGTTGGTGCCCGCATTGACATGACAGGTGCTGTAGAGGGTGTATGTCCGAGAACACTGACTGTACCAGCAGCGAGGTGCAGTTGCTTGACGCTGTTGGTTTGCCTGAGAAGCAGTGGAAGAAGAAAAAACCGGTTTTGGTCGGCGGATAAGGAGGCATTCTAGAAAACAAAACTTGAAAAAGGCAGTATTATACTTATCAAAAAGTTACCAATTTTGTAATGAGTGACATACTGTACATAACGTTTTGAAATTAAAAGGATAAAAATGCATAGATTACAAACAGATATATAAACTCATAAATCTACTAGAATTAAGTATTCCTAATACTAATGTTGGCAGTGTGAGCAAGGCAGATCATAACAGATCACCGCACCAATCATACATTTTCACCAACAAAAAAGTTACAGGTTGAATGTGAAAATGCACAAAATAACAGTAGTGGTAAAAGCTAAGAAACCCTGACGTAAGATAAAATACGCTGGGGAAAACAATCCTATAACATCTAATATAAAAGAGAAACCTACAGTATAATCTTAGCATCATGTAACCTATTGAAGCTTCCAAGAAGGAGAAATTCATGCGCAAAGTAAATTCTTCATAATTGCTGCCGAGCGAAGCGATGGCAGCCACCTATTCTTGACAACATTGACAGTTTTTACTCGTGCCAGATCCCTGTGCGACTTATGTATTTTAGCCAAAGCATTTGAGATTTGTTTGTCGTTCGTTCGTTCGTTCAATCATTTGGGTCGCATTTTCTGACGTCACAGAATTCGAATGACGTTGTGTACAAATTTATATACGCAGGAGTTTACGATGACAATCCGATCACTTCCGAAAGCTGCGTTCGGTGCACCGTAGCTTCATAGGAGCTATGACATTTAATTTTGACATGACCATATGGCAATGTCGCATATTTTTCCATTGCACGAGGCTTATTTTACAATATTACTATTTGATTTTGGAGGAAAACTATCAAAAGAATTATATTTTTGAAGGTATGTTGATAAAAAATAGTTATTTGAACGTTTGAATACTTTCATTTATATATGTAAATGAACGTGATAGTCTGTTTTTATAAATACATTATAAAAATTCGAATTCAATCTCCTCTACAGTAGGTGTATATTTTGTTGTGTGTTCGTGGCGATCATTTGGTCAAATCAAGTCAAAAGGAGCCGTTCATATTATGTTTTTCAAAAAAGCAGTGAATTGTGAACTCGCTGTAACTGTACCAAACTTGCTAGCTATGTGTGAACTAGCTATATTTTATACTTTATACTAGCAAGGTTGTGATCTTGCTAGCTGGGCAATCGTCGACGGTTGGCAATAATAAAGTTGTATACTGATTCTGTCAAAAGATCAAGCCAACAAGGTATTGTATATCAAATTTTACAAATATGTAGGTTGTATGTAAATTAGAAAATTGCCAATAAAAATAGTTATATATATATATTATATTACAGTAAAATGATTATTGATATTGTTATTATTTAATTATGGGAATATGATATGCAGTAATTAAGCCGTGTATAAAAGAACCAGTGAATTTTGACTTCAGGCTGAAGTGGTTCTTATATGATCTTACTTCACACTATACTTTTTTATATTCAACACATTGTATTTTGGGTGCTCAATTGCCCAAATTTCAGGGTAGTGGTTCTTAACCTACTGGTTCTTTTATGCGAGGGCAAGGCTTTACTGTAATGTCTGTATATCAAATCAATAGACCTTAAGGCTTGATGTCTGTGAGGAATGCTGGTCTTAGTAGTCATCATGGTCCAGCAAAATTTCGATAGTGGCCATTTTGAATTGTTTAATTTTCCTGGGCAATTACTACTAAAGTCCTGGGCAAACTAGGAAACGTTGTTGCGGAAACATTGTTTCTTCCCAATGTTTCGCCATGTTTCCCAGAGTGGGCAAACACTAGGAAACATTAGTGAGAAACATAGGGAAACATCAAATGTTTCTGAATTTGCTAGGAAACATTTTTGCTTCTCGGGAAGCAAATTTTTTTTCTGCAACAATGTTTCCATGGGTGGGCGAACAGGGAACGTCTGAGGAAACATCGAGAATCACAAATGTTTCCGCAACGTTTCCTAGTTTGCCCATAGCTTAAGACCAGCATTCCTCGCAGGCATCAAGCCTTGTGACATCATTATGCATAAGGTGAAATGAGCAGTATGATGTCCAAATTGTAACACACAATTGTACACGAATGAAAAATTATCTGACTTTTTTCCATAATGCTCACAATTTCTTTCTTATTATATAGTTTTACAGTTCTGACTGAGTACAATCTTAATCATTTATAAAAAGAATGGTGTCATATGAAGCTGCCGTATTAAACAATTGCAATCTTAATCATTTACACAATGAATGGTGTCATATAAAGCTGACGTATTAAACAAAAATGTCAACAAAATAGATTTTGTCTCCCCATCGGCAGATTGTTCTGTTGTTCTGCGGTAGTGGTAGTTTTGAAAGCACCATTAAAATGATAATTGGGGCAAAAACTGACTTACTGGTAGTGTTTCTATGTATGAAATTGTTATTAAATTCTGCATATCAAATGATTCATTTAAGTATTAATTATTATCATTTGTTATATATGATATTGTACAGTATTCAGTGGCAAGCTAGCCATGGCAACTGGTTATGATATGCCAATAAACCTGCATCAATTTGAATAATGCAAATCATTAAAAACTTGCATAGCATGACCTGTAGACTTTCGCAAAGTCCTTCATCTTTGTTTAGAACGAAGGAATTTTCAAGGAAGTAATTTCTTGAAGAGTAGGGAATTTGTGGAAGTCAATACAATTGGACTATTTAGCTGAGCTTCGATTTTGTGCAAAGTGTTTTCATATTCAGATTGCACTTTTTCTACCACCTGAACAGGTGTCTTAGGGGTGCTTTTCGTGTTTATGTGATGGAGGGGGGAGGGGGGGGGGAGGCAGCACTTTCCTTGCGATAGTAATTTCTAGTTACATTATAAGAGTATCAAAACTACAACATGCAGAGAGATGTGCATGAGAATGGCACTCCTATAACTTCTATACAAGGTGTATTGACCAATTTTGTTAAAATGAATCCCATCTCGAAGTAGTGGGGGTATAAATAGTCAAAACAAACCAGAATGGACAGATGTGTATTCACAAATCAAATCTTAAAGGCTATTCACAAGTGCAAGACATTGATTACAAAGAGACATTTGCACCCATATTCAGTGTGCACTTTATTGCAATGCACAGTTTTTCCAGACTAACATAAGCAAATTCGAAAATTTTATGACCAATATAAGCAACGCTTCCAATTTTTTCACCGCAAACATAACAAAAGCTTTAAAATTGTTCAAATTACGAACCATTTCATAACTTTCGGCAAATTCGACCATCTTTTACCCCAAACTTTGACCAAATTTTTCCCAGTTTTACCTTTACCTATCAGTTCCATTTTTACCAACTTTGGGCAAATATCACTTCTATTTGACCAACTTTGACCAATGTTTGAATTATTGGGGGTGTTATACCCCCCCCCCCCTATAGCGACATCCCTGAGTTCACCAGATGGATGTTAAAACAGCTTATATGAAAGCACCTATCGACCAAGAGGTCTATATTGAGCAAACCGAAGGTTTCGAGAAGTTAGGTAACAATTGCGAAAAGTTAGTGTGCAAACTAAGACTGTCATTATACAGACATAAACAGAGCGACAAAAATTGGAACAATTTATTGCATAACAATTGCATAACAATTTATGAAAGAAAATTTTACTTGATCACTTGCAAACCTGTGTCTGTATGTTCGCACAACTGACGATGAGCGATGTATTATTGTTATCATTTGGGTCAAGGACATTATCAATGCTGCTAGTGATTCCAATTTAGTTTAGATTCATTGAGCAATAGATTTAAAATGACTGACCTAGGAAAATTAAAATGGTTTTAGGTACCGAATTTAAACACAGGGGAAACTGTATAAGGATCAATCAAACCTGGTACAATCAGAAAATTCTTTCAAGATTCGAAATGTCTGATTGTAAACCTAAGCCAACTCCATGCATTTTAGGGACTGCGAAAGTTTCAAATGAAAAATCACCTGAATTGACAGATACAGGATTGTATAGGGCAATTGTAATACGATTGATTTATGTAATTACTGGAACAAGACATTGTGTCGCAATTTGCTTGCAAGAGAACATCCTGTTTGACTGTAAATTGACCAATCTGTGATTTGCTGAAGAGTTAATGTTCAAAGGAATAGTTGGGATTTTGTCAAATGATAACATTACCAGCTGGATAGTGAGAGAATCTCTTTATGTGGTATCCAGACTGATAGTAGAAATACCTGGTTAAACAGGAAAATGTTCAAAACAGTGTATCCCTACTTAGCAGTGAATTGTTAATTTTGCCATTTTTAAGGGTGAAGAGTTTAGAACAGATTTTAAAGACCTCTCCTCACTAAAGGCATTCTCCCTGTTGGTTCCAACTCTGGCACTGTGACAGCAACTGCTTCACCACAATTGTTGGTAAAGTTGGAAAAAGCTTGATGCTTGCCAGCTGCAAAATTGTGTCTGTCAACCCAAACAGGAGGGATATTTATTTGGAGAAAAATGTTCAACTTAGCAATCACCATGGCAGTGAAAGCTACAGAACCATCCTTGAACCAATTGCTCAGCAGTTAGTCATTCAAAAAGAAAAATACCCAATGACAATTATATATTTGAATTGAAGTATTGTGGCTATGCATATACTCTCTATTTGAAAGAATCCTGAACGAGAACCAGTATGTAGGAGATTCAAAGGAACCAACAGGAAGACGTTTTGCCCAGTTTCACAACCACAAACTGACCATATGAAAAAGGAACTTATAACAGAGATAAAGAAAGCAGACTCAAGGGAAACAGTTGCCTTTGCAATATCTGCACTCGGAATGGGGGTTGATTCACCATATGTTACAAGCATCATTCATATTTCGCCTCCCAGTTCACTTGAAGCCTATATGCAGGAGATAGGGTGTGCTGGCCGAACTGTGGGCATACAGGCTGGAGCAACACAGTTCAGTATAGAATTATATCATAGTTATAATTATACTTGCCTGGTGACATATTTTCTAAAAATAGTCTAGCATAATAGAAATTACACTTCACGTTTATTTACATTTGTTAGTAGTTTTGCAGTCCAACGTTATTTAAGTTTGTTTAAAATTATGCCTCTAAAAAAGAAACGCTTCAAGGTAGAATGTCTTGTTTGTCATGCTATATTTGATTCGGACTATCGAAAGAAACACAACGAATTGTGCCAAAGGTTGTATTTAGCTCAAATGGGTCCGCAACAACCCAAACTTTTCAATACTTTTATGACAGAGAATTTAAAGAAGTTCTTGATATTCTAATCGCACAGTACAAGGACAATATAAATGCAAGTTTGGAGAAGCTGAAAGCACTTTCCATAGTCCTCCAACCAGAAAAAGATGTGAAAGATCTTCTCAACTTATTCCCGCTTCAAGCACCAGACCAAGCTGCGTTTACTGCTGAATTTGAAGTTTTTGTTAACTTTTTCCTGTTGACCAGTCAAGTTTACAGACTTGCCCTGACAGCTCCTGTGACAGTGAATGAAAGAACATTCAGCAAGCTAAAGACTGTGAAAACCATTTTGCGCAATTCCATGTCGGATCATCGCTTACAAAATTTAATTTTGCTAAACAGTGAAAAAGATATTACTGACAGTGTGGACCTAGACATACTAGTTGAGAAATGGTTTATGAAAACCAACTGAAGAATAAATTTGTGACATTTGTCATGCCTGCATGAATGACGTTTTCATTATGTGGAAACGTTAGTGAACATAAACAATTGCCGCCGCACAATATAGCCATTATGGCATTGTTGTGAAACTAATTACATTACTTCATTATTAATTTTATGTAATTATGAATTCAGGGGGCTGCGGAACAGAGGGGCAATGAGGGTATGTGCCCCCCCTTTTTTTTAAAGAAAAAAGGGCCCTTTTTTCTGGGCTTTATATAGCGCTCCATTTAAAAAGTATGTATTGAATGAACACCCTCTTTTGCTGGAAAGAAAGTGCCCTTTTTGCAGTAGTAAAGACTCTGTAAAGGCCATTTTCGGCATTATAGAGACTCCATATTTTAAAAGATTTTCCTTGGGCTTGTTAACGACATAAAATCGTTTGATTTTGGTCATATACAAAAGTGCCCCTTTCGTCAATGCCTAATAAAAACAGCTTTAATTAATATCTATATAATTTATTGCGTCTTCCGGATAGCAAACACCTTTGTGGCTTCATATGCCATGAAAGATTCGGAAATTGTTTTGGTCATTCGGAAATTTTTGCCCTACATCCCCCCCCCCCAACTATACATGCTAGCTACGGCCCTGAAGGGAACTTCCTACCAAAAATAGGCTTCATCTGGAAGAGTTGATTAACACAATAGTACACAGCACTCAAGAAACTTTGCAATGCTTTTCCATGATTAATGTTCATGTTGTTGACATAAACAACATGGTTGAAAATATAATGGATCGTGTTGAATATATTTCAAGTGAATCAGATATGTTGAACAAATATGGTATATGCGATGAAACTTGCTCTTCTCCGATATTTTCTGTTGTGTGCAAGGTTACAATTTTGAAATGAAGTTTTGATCATACAGGTACTAAACTTTAACCCATTAAGTTCAAGTGCTTTCAACCTGCTTCTCAGGTTGATGTGAATACAAACTAGCCTGGCAAGCCAGCTGGCTAGAAATCATAGACAAAATACATGTGAAGCAAATCACAAATCGCAAATCACTTCTTGGCAAAGCAGCACGAGTCCAGTGAATGAGTGAGATCTGTGAAAAACTCACAATGCAAGTGCATGTTATATCCAAATTGCATGAGAAATCATGCTATTACGATTTTGATTAGTTCATAGTGACTACAGATTTTTGCACTGTGATTACAAAAAAGTTCACTGTGATTACACATTTTCCACTTCTGTTTGAGATTAAACTGCACTGAAATCAACCAATCACATTCGAGTACCATTTAAATGTATATCATTATTACTGTATATAATTCCTCAAAATGTTCAACTTTTATATAGTATGGTGGTGTTAGAAGACAACAAATGTCAATTTGAAAGTTCTAGCTGCCATATGTTTTCTTAGCCATCGATGGAATTCAATAACTTTCAGATATTGCAGAGGCCAACTCCTGTCAGGAAAGCTATAGTGACATATTGAAGGCATATAAGTGAAAGGATCCAAATTTAGTAGGTCTGCAATCTTTTCTTTTCTTCCTCTAAGGCCAAATAAAAATAATAGTTGGTTTCAGGTTTCCGACCAACCTGTCCAAAATATGACTGACTGACCGACCATAAACATTTTATTGACATTTCCCAGTAGAGGTCATCTTTTCATGAAAATAGCAGAATATATAGTTTGTACTTACTAGTCATATTAATTATAGTTTTACACAAAGAACAGTTGAATAAAATATTAAAAACATACATTATTCTGACATGGCAGCTACGGCTGAAAAAAGACAAAAACACCTTGATGTGTTTCGCAAAACACATGTAGCTTGCAGGTGATCCCATGTGGAATGCTCTTTGTGGCATGCTTGAACTTGATGAAGAAAGTCCAGCATTGCCGATTGAGATAAAATATTTTTTCCGACCTACCTACCCATATAAAACATGGCTGTGAAACCTGAAACCAACTATTATTTTTATTTGGCCTAAGAAATCACGAGTGGTGTGTGCTGTACAGACGTTTGAGTAGCAATCGAATGATTCTGTAATTTCACTGATTCTCATTGTTGCTCTGCATATTTTGCCGATTGAGTTGAAAGTTCTGTTAGCCCCATGCGTTGCACAATGCTCTTACTGCATTTGTTGTATATTTCCTGGGCCAAATCATCCTCGATATTCTTTCCTACACCTCGATAGCTCACAAAAATTCTTCTGACAAAAATTCTTCTGAATTCAATTGAATTCTTCTGACAATCTAGGGGTTAAGAGGTATTCGATCTGTGCAATGCTTATAAACATCTCAATAGCATACTTGCTGTAATTTCCCAATGACTTGAATACAGCAAACAGCAGGTTTTGATTGACCAGATTCCTGTTGGCCATCAACTTCTGCAGCAGTACCTTTCATTTGCAATATCAGGATAGCCAAGAATATGAAACACAACCCATAGTTCATGACATAGTCATCATCATCATGTGACTCATCACACTTTTGCAGCACGATTCTGTCAATGAACTGCCCGAAAACATTGTCATAGTACTTTTTCTTATTTTCCTTGCTACCACAAGTAATGTTATCTGAGAATGCATTAACAGTTACTTTGTCATCAAGCTTTGTCGTTCCTTTGTCACTCTTGAGTGCAGCCACAATGTAAGCTTGTCCCATGCTAAGAAACAAGTCCTCACTTCCATTGTAAGAATCAAGAACTTTGGATGGTGTGGCATTTTTACAGTTGTACTTTTCTCTGAAAAATTTTAAGGTTCCAACCTGATTCACACATGTTCGTTTGCACAAGAATGAGCATGAGTACTGGAGAAGGGATGCTTTTGTATGCCACTTCACTGGCTTAAAAGGAGAGCGATGTTCAAACCTATCAAACAGTGTATGTGTTCCTGAAAGTAGATCCTTTGCCCCAGTAAAACGCACCCTTGTTAACTGATCTCCAGCAAATACAATTTTCAGCTCTCATTGGATCATTTCATGTTGGCTGTTGATGGGCATGGGTCTGACCAGGGGCTGCGGGTCCAGCAGGTACTGGTGGATTATCTACTTGAGGAATTTCTTGAAGCAAACCAGTCTTAAAATAAATTTCAGCAATCCATTTCTTGTATGTACGAAGTATGGAAACGCAATCTTCATATTTTGCCTCATTGGCATTAATAATAGGCAGACTAACAATGCTTGATTGCTGTTCCATTTCCTTACTGTGAACATGCAATATACGCTCTGGAACAATGCCTTTGAAAAACGTGAACTGAGGAAGAAATTGAAGAACAATCCATCCTACAATAACCTTCGCATTATCTGCATACTGCCTCCACTCATTCATGCTTAAAGAAAATGTTGAGCACGGAAGATATTTAATGTTCCCCTTAGGCTTCCCATTTTCTATGACATTGGTGGCAAACAAGTGTACATCTTCGTTTTGAATGTTCATTTGCATACTGCCCTTCAAAATCCTCATGTCCCAGTTATCTCTGGTGTCACGAAATACCTTTCCTTTCTTGATCTTTTCAACAATTTGGTCGGAAAATGGCCCCCAAGTAGTTTGATAATTGTATCCTTTCTATAGGTGGACAGACACACCCCAATCTTGTTCAGTCGCTCTTGTATCTACAAATAGAATGACAGTTAATTCACTATTTTCAATGTTTTTGGAATGAGGATCAGTTTATCTAATTTAGATAAATGTGGTAACTAAATGACTGTACTGTTTTTTGCACTCTTTTCTAATAGCCTTGTTTTAAAGTGGTTATTTTTCTCTTGTGTCATGCATGCACATGTGGTAGGGTTAAAGATAGACTTGTTTTCATGCTCATGTAAGATCAAAAGTGGAACTAGCTCTAAAACACAACAGAAGAAATGAAACTGGCCTTTAGTGGATGCCTGGATGTATACCAGTATCTATTTGGAGAAAGAGGCTTTGAGCCAAACAGATGATGAAACAGATAACTTCCCTGTCCAGTTTTTTCCAACTGGGTAGGCTACTAGGCTGAATGAACATGGGGAAGTTTAGTTTTTATTTTCCAATAAAAATATAGAATATTTGGTAACAAATATTTTACCAAAAGCCACAATTAAATACAAAAATAAGTGTATTAAATAGTATAAGTGTTATTTCAGTACAAGTAGCCTAACATGCCAACAGTTTTGCGAAAGGCAAATTAAAAAATTAATTTCCATCTTCTCATCACTCACAACATGTAAACACTTCACAGTAGGTGTAGAAATGGTGACATGCTACGCAACTTTCTAATTTAAGCATAGCATGGTGCTGAATGGCGTCATCACTGGTTTAGTTCTTTATCTTGTTTTACTGTTCTTTTTTATTTTCCATTGCTTTTACTATTCTTTCCATTTGCTTTCTTACTTGCATTGCTTCCATTGATTATATTGCTTCCATTTTCTGGTTCAACTGCAACCACCACACTACTCGCACAAATCTTTTTCCTCTAGTCTAGGACCTGTATTGGAGTTTGTATGTGTTTCATTTACCACAGGTAATCTCAACTATTTTATGGGAAAATAACTGACTCTAACTTCCAAAAAGCAGTGCTGATATAGCTCTAACCTCCAAAAAGTAAAAGTGACAGCCATTCTGAAGTGCTTATAGTGTTTAGAAAGGTTGCTTTTAGGGGTGATTATTGGAAGGAAAAATTTATCTAAGCATAATATTTTACAAGAAAATGACCATGTACCACCCCAGGTGAACTGCTAATTATGCATAAACTATCTTATATACCTGCCAGAAATTAAATTTTCTTATTTTCTGAAAAAGGTATCATGGGATAAAAAACTACACTTAATTTAATATAATTATTGTAGATTTCATAAGGATTGTCATCGTTTTCTATAAATAATAGATTTGTGATAAGTTGAATCTCAAGTTAGAGTTTAATATCGGAAAAAAAGTAGTTAATTTCAATTCACATTTAAAAATGTTTTACGTAGAGTTTCGTTTTGAATTTTACATTAAATTAAAGCCCATAGAAATCAAAATAATACACATACTTTATATATTTTAGAAATTAATAGTTCGGTATTTAAAAGTGTTCAAGTTTCCTCTATTTTTTGCAGGTTTGTACAAAAAACTTCAAAAAAATTTGTGTTGCCATGACTTGCGCTATCGTCAAATTTAATAGTGCATTGTATGAAACAAATTAAATTCGTCCACAACGTTTTATCTGTCATGGTCAGATGAATACAACATGTAGCATGTATTTGTTTCATACGACGTCATGTCTAATTAAATGCATAAATTATGTTAACTTATATTTATACCAAAGGAGGATATTAAAGGTGCGGTACAGTCCCACCTGTGCATGTGCCGCTAGGAGCCCCCCTATTGTGAATGTAAACAAAGAATAACTAATTATTATGCAGGCGCCCCAAGGCGCCCACTCTTCGCATGCAACAGCTTGCAAATGGCAGAACGCTTCAGGCAGTGCTTCGCCAGAATCTGGTTGTGTTCCTTTGGTAGCGAATTGGTTGTAGCTAAGCAAAATAAATATAAAACAGAGAGAGATCAAACATGAGTAAGTCTTTTTGAACATTTTGAAAGATGGAGAGACTTGCGAAAGCAGATAAATCTAAAGGCAGACAAAGAGTTAGCAAGTGTGTTGCTTGACAGCTATTTTGAAAATAAAGACAAAACCCAAAAAAGGTAAGACTAAAATTGATATTGACTGCAGTCACTGCAGAATTTACAATTGTAAAATATATAATACTAAGTTGGTATAAATCTTTTCAGTATATATATATATTAAAAAGAGGATCGATCTTACAACGAGAAACTAGTTTTATATTAATCTGACACTGCAAGACAGCAACGAAAAATTCATTGGCTCGAGCAGGAGCGAATGTTTCGTTGCTCAATTGCAGTGTCAGATTAATATAAAACTAGTTTTTCGTATCTCTGAGGATGGTTCTGAAATAGAATTTACAACGAGAATTAACTGTTAAAACTTACTTCTTGTGTGCCATCATCACTTGAATTGTCAGAACTTGACTCTCCTATCAAATGTCATTTATTCATACAAGTTTCATATTTCAGCATGAGAATGGCAGGCTTCAGAAAAATAGTTCCCCATGCTTTTGCATGGACATGCATTTCTTCCACGCTCTTTCAGACATGCTCTGCGCCAAGAAGAACCTGAGACTTTGTTAGTGTTTGGTGACCCACCCCACCCAAGTACACCCTTGTGTATTTGTAAGCTTTTTTATGCTTGGCTGGGCAGGGGGGAGATAACCCCTTGTAATATTCACTGAAAATCTACTTGTCGGCCTGGGGCTATTGACATTAGAAAAGAAACTGCAAATGCTTTGGGGTGTCCTGAGGTATGGGCAATACTGGAATTGTGATGCAGGACAGCAGGTGTAGATCAATTGCTTCCTTTATTTATTGATAGGTTGGTTCTTGTGAAGCAGTACTGGTTTGGGATTGCATTGTGAAGGATGACTTACAACCTGTTTCAACAGTTAAAGCTGTCCTACCAGTGGAAGATGACGACTCTTACCCGACATTGCCATGGCTGGACATAACCCAAAGTAATTGCAATTGCAACAAATACCCAACACATGGTCTCATTGTGCAGAATAACTCAAATGAATCTCAGTATGATGATGGTGACCATTCTTGATGATAGTGAAATAATTGATGAACATGCTGTCAATGATGGTTTAGTAACTGATGATGGACAAGTGAACATATAACACTTAGATCATGCTGCAGAACATGAAGAACAATTATACAGAAAAATTCAAGCTGAAAGGAACTTGTTTTTCACAATCACTTTCAAAGTGAATTATGACATTATAAATTCTGTCAACTGAGTGAACTAGAACCTCCAGCACTAACACTACATTTTGAGCCTGTAAATAAACAGGATGAAAATGCGATTGTCATCATTGCAGAAATTGATGGTACTACTGATCCTATAGGATATATACCTGGTTCAAGAGTGGAAAGATAACAAAGGCATATTATTCACATGAAATAACTAATATACAGATGTCAGAAATTAAGAGACAGTACAATTTTTATGTTGGTAGTTTTGTCTTTGTCCCAGTTGTGTCCATAACAAAAACAGGAAGATGGCCACCAAACTCTAATAAATATTGTTATAATTGTACATTTTAGTTTTACAGAACATTTTCACTCTTATACAGTTTTGTGACAAGTACCTTTCATGATCATAATTTAAACATTATTTATTGATTATGCCTTGAATACTCTTTACAATTTGTCGGAAAAAGGTGATTATGCTCACTCCTATCATTTCGTACATCTTCGGTGATTGGATCTACCTCAGGAATGTAAATGTAGAGAGAGAAATCAACACCATTTCCCTTCAGGTGTTTGATCTGGGAGGGTACAAAAGCTGGACCCCCTCATCTGGACCCCCTTCTGGACCTCTCAGAATATAAAATAAATTCAAAATAGGGATTAAAATAAATACTTTGCAGAAATAATGATTTTCATAAATAATAGATTTTAATTTATGGAAGTGGGCCTAGTTGCGAAGTAGTCTTGTGTAATAGGTTAGACAGGTCACTACTTTATATTAGATCAAAAGAATAGTTTCGGCCATGTTAGGGTCAGGCATATTTCGAGTTACGGATAGTGCGCCATATTTAGCGTTTTTATATTGTTATTATCGTTGATGCACTATCTCCTTGCAAGATGAAGTAACAACAAACTATAACTTGGCGGGAAAAAAATAATAGCATGTTGTGCTTCCTTATTCTGTGACCTTGTTTAAAGGGTATGGGCAATTATATTCATTTTATTGCTTCATCTGAAAGTGCATGAAAAATTAAGCCGGTTGGCCGTTTAATGCTCTATTCTATCTCATCTAGTTCCGAAGTTATATGCAAAAATGTGCAAAATATAAATTGCTGATTCAGCACAAAGTGTGACGTCATTAGCTGGTAAGAATGTTTATTGAATACTACACTGAAGCATAATGGCTCAGTTATTATGGGATCAAATCAAATGACATTCTGCATGCAGATAGTACATGATGAGACCCATGGAAAAACACTTCCAATTTTGTTGCCAAGGTAACAATGTCGTTCCCAGGTCCCTTGCGCCAATTTTATAAAACAGCTTTATTTATGGTACTGATAAAAATAAAATAATATCAGAAGTATGTGTACCATATCTATGCATGCCAAAAGTTTACTTGTTTAATAATAATTCGAAAATGACATACACATAGATAAATGCAACTAGTTATTCAAAATCGGTGTAAGGGGCCTGGGGACGACTGTGTTGCCTTGACAACGAAATTAGAAG